ATCTCTCTGCAAAGATTTACTCAGTTATCTCCTAGGACCTAGGTTATACAAATGTATAAAATCCATTTTTGTATTTATATAAATTTATATATTTTTATAATGCTAACTAAATGCAATATTTAAAAATAATTTATATCTGTAAGCAGTCATTATTATTTTAAACAAAAGGGTTTCATATAAAAAGGAAAAAATACAATTAGATTACAAGCAGGGTTATTTATGAAAGTGAGAATTCAAAGCAAATTTAAATTTTCAAGCTAAAGTAGTCAAAATGAAAGCATAACTGGCTTAGAGATTATTTTTAATTTTAACTATTTTGACCTTAAAGGAAGACTATACAAACATGCATTCCTTATACAATAGTGCTGGAAAAAACATTTAGGTTTACTCCCCTCTATATGGAGTGAAAAGGTGATTAAACTTATCTTTTCTCCATTTCATAGAAACATAGACTGTGACGGCAGATAAGAACCATTCCGCCCATCTAGTCTGCCCAATTTTCTAAATACTTTCATTAGTCCCTTTATATTATAGCTAGGATAGCCTTATGCTTATCCCACACATGCTTAAACTCCTTTACTGTGTTAACCTCTACCACTTCAGCTGGAAGGCTATTCCATGCATTCTCTCAGTAAAGTAGTACTTCCTGATATTATTTTTAAACCTTTGTCCCTCTAATTTAAGACAATGTACTCTTGTTGTGGTAGTTTTTCTTCTTTTAAATATGGTCTCCTCCTTTATTGTGTTGATTCCCTTTATGTATTTATATGTTTCTGTCATATCCCCCCTGACTCTTCTTTCCTCCAAGCTTTACATGTTAAGTTCCTTTAACATTTCCTTGTAAGTTTTATCCTGCAATCCATGAACCAGTTTAGTAGCCCTTCTCTGAACCCTCTCTAAGGTATCAATATCCTTCTGAAGATACGGTCCCCAGTACTGCGTACAACACTCCAAGTGAGGTCTCACCAGTGTTCTGTACAATGGCATGAGCACTTCCCTCTTTCTATTGCTAATACCTCTCCCTATACAACCAAGCATTCTGCTAGCATTTCCTGCTGCTCTATTACATTGTCTGCCTACCTTTAAGTCATCAGAAATAATCACCCCTAAATCCCTTTCCTCATATGTTGAGGTTAGGACTCTATCAAATATCTCTGCCCTTGGGTTTTTACATCCAAGATGCATTATCCTGCACTTATCCACATTAA